TGCTGAACTGAGGATTCGTGTGGCGATGCGGCATTTGCTGCAGGGAACCAAGCCCTCGGAAAAGACAGTTCCCGCAGCAGAAACAGGCAGGAGAAGATGGTGGGAAGGCTGCCAGGGAGCGGATCAGCAGTGCTTCCTGCTTCCCTTCTTCCACAAAAAGGTTCGGGCATTCCAAATTAACCTATTAGAACATCCAATCTGCAATGATGGGGATGTGTATTCTGCCATGCGGGACATGCCTAACTGTGGCATCGCAAGAAAACAGTTTCCCCGTGATCAGCGAATGTGCGCAGCGTTAAAGCTAGAAAAGCACCCATCAAATCAAAAAGAACACGGATTGCAGCTTGGATTGCCTGAAGCCTGTACAAAAAAGATCACTGCAACGATGACGGCCTAAGCCAGTTTTTGCTCAGCCAAGATGCCAGGAGACCACGCTGCTGCTGGGAACGGAAGCTGCAGGGCACGGGTACAATATGCAGTGAACTCCAGCCACAGAAGGCCATGCTCCAACAGGAATGTGACTGGGCTTCCGGGTTCTGCTCTGATAAACAGCCTGCAAAGCAAGAGGCTTTTTGCATCAACTTCTGAACCAAGCAGCTAAGGCCCAAAGATAAGCCACACACACACCAGCTCGGCAGAGGGGGAAAGAGCAGGAGGCAAAACCGACCACTGCACGCCGAACCAACCCGCAGAGAGACAGAGAACAAGCAAGCATGCCTCCTGTCAGGCAGCGCTGAAAGTCTTCCGCGTTCACACAACTGGCTCACCAGCAGGACAAAGATAGCCTTCTCTGGCGCCCCGTTCAGACGCCGGCTAAAGTGAGCGAGCTTGCTGCGAACATCGTCATCCCAAGTCCGGCATATCAGAAACATTCAGAGCTGGCAAAGGGCTGGAATTCCAGAGCACGGCAAGACAAGCCGCCGCCTATTCAGTCCGGCAGCAGCCAATCGGCATCCTGCTCGGCCGACAAGGAACTTCCTGGATCCAAAGCCGCAAGGCCGTGACTGCAAGCACACATTTCCGCGCATTTTTCTCTCTCTTTCTCGGATGGCAAACGGCTACCTGTATTCTCCTCCCATGAGAACAAATGGAAATGCCCTGAATTGCAAAGTGCAATAATATAAAATGCGTGGCACTTTAGAGCTGCAGCAAAAGAAGCAACTTGCCAAGGCGACAGCTCAGGGGCTGAAAGCAGGCAGAAACCAGCTGCATCGAGGGGTTCTCAGGAGAGCTTTATCCCTGTTCCATTCACCCCACACATTCCTGTCCCTGGAGCCCAACCCCATGAAAATCTACCTGGAAGGAAGTGCCACAGCAGCCTTGAGCTGTGCAGAGAAGCGTGCGGCTCAGTTAAGCAGGCGCACACAGGTGACTGCTCTGGAGCAGATTCTGCCCCGTGCCGGCCCATGGCAGAGCGCAGGGGCTTCATTCAATGGGGACAGGCGCCTCTCCTGCTTAAAAGAACGCCCACGAGGCACAAGCCTGAGGACAGGCCTGTACCAGCCTTCCCCAACTTGCTGCTCTCCAGAAAGATGGGACTTCAACTCCTACCAGCCCCAGCTAAAGCTCAGGAATGCTGGGAGTTGTAATCCAACTGTCCAACGGGCACCAGGTTGGCAAAGGCTGGCCTATGACTTTGGAAGGTGAGGCTGGTCAGAAGAGAAAGGGCTGGGCTAGGTGATAGTCCCACTCCGTGTGAGGCACCCTCAGCAGGTGAGGACAGCCACCTTGGCCATGGAAGGGGAGACACACCTGGATATTCAGGTGTGCTGGTTTCACTTTCACCAGGGAGGCGATTCTCCTGCTTGCTCACAGGAGCCAAAACAGTTGTTTGGAAAAGTATGTTGTTCCCCCTCAGCCCACCGGCATAAAACACTAGGACCGAAAGATGTAACAGGAAACCATACGTGGGAGCCTCATAAAACGGTGAGGTGAACCTTACTCCCTTTTGAATGTTTCAGCCAACTGCTCAGTGCGGTGCGGAGTCGAGGGAATCGCCTGATCCGCTCCCTGGCCTTCCTCACAAGCAACTGGCCATTTCCTGCACAAACGGTAAGGAAGGGCTTCGACCTCTTGTGAAGCTCTTCTCTCAGGGCCATCGCGTCTAAACAGATACTGCTCTAGCCCAAATAAAAGGCGATTTCCCGGGATACGGCAGATGTGTCTGGCAGACCCTGTTGTCTCACCACGGCAACTTCAAACCTGTGCCGGCCACAAGGAAGTTCTGGTGGCTGAGCGGCTAATGCAAAATCCCAACAGGCAAAGACCTGAACAGACTGGTGAGGCATCGCGAAGGAAGCAGCAAAAGCAGCATTCAAATGAAGAGCCCCCCCACCGAAAAGATGCACAAAGTCATAAAACCCCAAAGGGAACGCGGGGTCAGCCTTGCGGATCACACGCATCCATTGCACGTCCACCTCAAGTTGGTGACAACCGACCCATCGGTTGGTCTGGCTTGTTTTGCGAATGGAATGGCAACCATATAAGAATGCTGCAACTTTGGGCGCTAAAGGACGCTGCAAAGTAGGCAAAATGGGTTAAGACAATGAGAACGGGGCAAATAACTGATGGTCATTACTGGGTTGAACACTGCTGAAGCATTTAACCGGTTTGACGAAAAAGAACCCCAGCCACACATTTAAAAGAAGGGCCTGAAGCCAGAATAAATGGGCAGCGGGCTTGGTGCCTGTGCTGATGATGTCACCGAGCGTCAGGTTACAATCTTGACCAAAGGTCCCGAGAGCAAGGAGGAGGCCTGTCTCATCCCGGGGCTCTGCCCAGGAACACCCGAACGCATACCAAACTGCACGCTGCATCGCTCAGCCGAAGCCGATGCTCCAGGCACAGAGCGAGCGGGCAGGCGCGATGCTCGCAAACGCCTTTGGCCCCAATGGCTGACTTGGCCACGGACCTGTGGCAGCACTGCCGCTGGCTCCTGGCCCCGCACCGCTGCAACAGTGAATCACAGAGCAGGGCGGTGCTGCCCGAGGCCGCATTTTGCTGGCAGACAGAGGCGGATCAGAGCTGAGCTCGGACACAACCTTGCGGCTGCCTGGAATTCCAGTGCTGTGCCCTGAAAAAACTGGCTTTGTCGTTTATCTCTCCATCTTCAAAGGAGAGGAATGCTGAAGAGATCTAAGGACTATTCTGCGGAGATGCTTTGCTCGGAGCCAGCTCCACCGGGACCTCCACTCACACTACAGACAAGTTCACACAGCACACGAACATGTCCCAAAATAAAGTCACGGCGGTCTTGTCCATTCCTCCCCACTGATTCCTGCTGGGCCGGCCGTACTCATTCCCCGCACCAGCCCCCGCCTGCGATCCAGCCACTGGCACTGCCGGCCCACAAAGGAAGCCCTTCCTATCAGGTCCCAGCCATCGCAACGCTGGAATGCACTCACAAGCTAAAAAAGTTTGCTAACGGACTCTCTTCCTAATTAACTTTGTCCACCCTCCAGCTCAGCTTCTTGAACGAAGCCCAAATCCACAAATATACAAAGTTCAAGGCAGAGCAGGGAGTGAGTAGGTAGAACAAACACAAATTTCAAAGCAGATCGGATCACTGCAAATGTACAACTTCTACGGCAGAGCAGTAAGATTGCACCAGGGGGATGCACAATGTGGAGACTCGCTCCCGGGCATCCGTGCAGGGTTACGTATCCACTAGCTGTGGACGGATTCAGGACACCATGGAAGGCGCCGAGGAGGAGGGAGGAAGGAGGAGGGTGTGGCCACGCGCAAGAGCAACAGCGGCGGCAAGGGCTGCTGCGTGGCGCTCGCTCAGCAGCTCTCTAGCCGGTCTGCACCATGCACGGTGAAGGCGCCTTGCCACGTGTAGGCATCGCAAGCAGCCGTGCCGTGCCGTGCCCTGCTCCCTCGGCACATGAAAGTCCCACCTGGCCTTTCTGAGCGACCACCATCAGTGGAGGCACCCTCCTCCATACACTGGGTTCATTCCCTTCTCGGGCTGCCTCAGCTAGTCAGCACCGCGGCATCACAGGGCAACAAATCCCATTATATAATTGTGCACTGCGTGAAGCACTTTCTTTTGTCCGGATCTGCTGCCAATCCTTTCATTTGGGTGACCGCACGGTTCTGATTTGGAGCGGGGGGGGGGTCATTCCTGTTCTTCTGCACAATGCATCTTTTACAAACCTCTATCGCTAACAACTCAATTGCCTTTTTTTCTATACTAAAGGCCTCCAATTTTGTACACTGTCTTCATGGAGGAACAGTTCCAGCCCCAACTGTTTTGAGTGCCTCTGCTCAGATCCTGCAGCATCTTGCCGAAAAGGACGGACCACAACTGTCCCCACTGTTCTGAACGTGGCCAACCATCCTTCCCGATGAGCTTACGAAACTGCTCATTGCAAAAGGAGCATCCACGAAAGGCGAAATCTTGCAAGAACCTCAGATCCGGCTCCCCCTTTCTGATGCCTTCATCCCCCACACAGAGAATTGCACAAAGGGCAATCTAGGTACAGGCTATGGTAGCAGCATACAAACTGAAACAATAAGCAAGCAATTCAGCCACTGCAATTAGTCAAATAAATTATATGGTCAGGCTTTAATCCTGCAAAATATTCATTTTTCTGAACTGACCAGAGAGCTTTCAGCTATTGTGTGGTATATTATTATGAGAATAACAACGATAAATTTATCGATCAAGACTGCTGCTTCTCCATGAGCCTCCGAACCAGCGCTTATAGGAGACTTAATGCCTGTGACAGACAGTGTAAACAACGCTGAGGGGGCCCACCAGTGCTGCTCAACCTACTGCCCTCCACATGGAGTGGGACCCCAAAGTATCTGGAGGGGTCGAGGTTGGGGAAGGCTGCCCCAGTGAATCAAAGGCAGCCCTCTGGTTCTTTCTGGCGTGTGGGGGCAGGATTTCATGCAGGACAGTCAGCCTACGGAATGAGCACGGGGGCAGGCACTGCTCTGCGCGCCGGGATTTTAAAATGCGATGGCTTTTAACGTAAAAGTGAGCCACCCACAGTGGACGTGCTTCCACGACCAGTGAGCATCAGGGCAGGCCTGATCATGACGCTCAAGGACACGGCAGGATGGACAAGGCGAGGCTTCTTATGTCGCCTCTCCCTCACTAAAGAAGCATGGGCACCACAAGAGGGCTGGATCCAGTGTCAGTCCGACTTGGAGTACATCCGCTGAAACAAAAGGAAATCAAGTCAGAATAACTGTGGGTGCCACTCAGCGATCTCACGAGTTCAGCTGCTGCACGCAGGGCTGAGGAAAGCGCAGCCAAGGAAGAGCACGACTGCGGGGAGCCACAGGGCCCAGGAGGCGTTCCATCGATTCCCACGCCTGTCGTGTGAGGAGTGAAGACAAGTGGCAAGCCATGTACCCCGGCATCCCAAGAGGAGGAGAACCAGAGCAGAGCTCAGCTGTAGCAACATTCTGAAACGGGACCGTGCCTTTTTCTCCGAACAATCTTAGGTTTTTGGGGGGGGAGGGGGGCTGCCCCAGCCAGCTAGGAGCTGCCAGTAAAAACTACAGCCAAAGAGCCCCTTAACTCCAAAAGCCCTTCCAGCCCCCCCACCTGTTCCCTGGAACTGCCACACCCCATTTCGCATTTTTGCCCTACAGGGTTATCCTTGTATAACCACAGTGCAGAAGCCGGCTGCAAGGACAGCCCATGCGTTCCTTGGCAAGAACCACCAACACGCAGTCCGAAGCAGCGTTACTGCAGAAGCAGGCAAACAACACTGCTTTCGCCACGATAACAGGGCAGTGTTTTTCCCCAGCAGGATTTGCACGGATACTTGGGACTGCCTCCCGATTCTTTTTTGCACTCTCAAGAGGGAATTCGTTTCTGCTACGCAGCATCAAAACTGACCCTGCTGACTGTCACAACTTTGTGCCTGCGAATTTCACGCCCCCCCCTTCTGTTGACTGCATGGCACCCTGCGTGTGATGCGCTGCTACATTTCCATTAAATAAATATTGGCAGAGAAGAGGCGCTTGCAGAAGCTCTGGAGTTTGACTGCAGTGCTCTTTCCACTGCCAAGTGATGCAGGATTTTATGGCACGCAAACGCTGCAAGACCAGCGGCTGCGAATGTCACCCCATCGGTGCTCCAGCCCACGAGGTAAGGCCTTATACAATGAGCCAGCTGCCTAAAGAAACTGCAAGCCAAGCCGGGCTAGCAGGACTCGCTCTTAATCCTTCCTCGAGCTCTTCCGCAAGTCTCTCCCTCGAGGCAGAGCTGGCTGGGTCTGTCAAGGGGCAAAATGCAGAACTGGGGGACGCCCCACACTACACCCATACCAGCCAGAGACCTGTGGGGCCAGTTCCATAAAAGCCAGAAATAAAATACCCCCTGGTCCACAGTCAGAGCACTTTTCCCCAGAAGCGGTCAGATCCTGAAAAAATCCACTGTCTCCGGTCCCCCACTGCTCCCAAGGTACCCCGATTTTTCTAGCACATTCGGCTGGGGTTGCCAACTGACTGGAAATCGGGCCCACATTCCCCAATATATGTTCACACTGATTTCACTCAGCGTTCCTTCCAGGGAGCTTCACTGAGAAACTGAGCAGGTGCCTAACCCGGCATCACCCAGAGACCGTGTGTGGATGAGAGCACAGGAACTCTCAGCCAGACGCCTTCCGAGCACCTTGCCTGCCACTAGCAGCTTTGAACCTGCGAACCCTCCAAAAAGAAGCATCAGAAAAGCACTACCTGGCTAACAGGTGGCCACACAGCACTCCACCTTGACAGAAACATACACGAGAAGGGTCATGTGTGCAAGTGAAACCTTTAATTAATCTTTTTGCTCCTAAGAACCACCCACCCCACCCGAGCTTGGCTTTAGATATTCTACCTGCTCTTCTAGATTCTTTAGCCAGGCAACGATGAGTCTTAAAACAGAACATAGTCCTCAAGGGCTATACCCTAGTCAGCATCCAGTTGCAATCCCATACCCTCAATGAACTTCTCAGTAGCACATGTAGCATTACAGTCCAATCCTATATATGCCTACTCAGAGTAAGTTTGCACCTGGGCAGTACAGGACACAGCCTCAAGTCTTCCTTGCCTATGCATTCATACACAGATGTATCTTAAAAGGAAGTGGATTCTCTTCCAATAAATGCTACCCATGTCAGAGCTGCTAAAACTCTTCAGAGTCACTGCAAGAGCTTGTCTGGGGCATTCCTCCCCCCTCCCCTTCATGTGCATGATGCATCAACTGGGCCCTCAGAGGTTTACTGGGGGAATCTGTGCTTTATCTTGCAAAAATGAGGCCTCTGCCTCCTATTCCTCACCCAAGTATTTACAGTGGCGCAAATTGGCTTTAGTTGTGTAAGGAAATACAGCTTAGCTTTGCCTTTGTCTTTCAGAAAACAGTGAAGGCTCTAAGGATGACTCCTTGGGAGAATATAACAAGCGTGTCCTGAACACTGGGCAGTTTGTCTTTCCCTGCCTGCATGCTTCCCCTCCATTTTGCTATTACATTTCCCTATGCAAGATGCTTTGTCATTATTTAATATCTCAATCATCCTAGAGTGATTTATCCAAGGCGCCACTTGGGAAATGGGACATAAGCCTTCACATCTTATACATGAAAGCCATTTCCCTTGAATGAATATGTGATTTCCTTTTTTTATATATTGAGACTTAAATTGCTAACAAAACAGTAATAAAATGTGAAACAAGGTTAATTCGGGTGCCATTTTAAGCCACAAAAACATGATGATTTAGGGATATAAATAGCAGTTACTTGCAGGGAATGTAAGACATGTATCTGTTTCTGTCTAAACAAGTATAGAATTGCCCCCAAGAGCGCAATCCTATGCATGCCTCCTTCCAAGTATGCACCATTAAGTTCAATGGGCCTTATTCCCAGGTAAGTGCGTACAGCTTCGCTATTCAAACAAGTGCTGAGTGTTATACTGAGGCACAGAATGCCTGGGCTATGAGGCTCACTCAACTCTGGTCCCACCATGGAACCTACCTCACAAGGTTGTTGTGAGCATAAAACAAAGGATTGTGTAAAAACTGCCTTGGGTTTCTTGGAGGAGAAAGGGCAAGATACCAATTCATTCGAGATACCAATTCCTGATTATACATGAAGCCAGATTTAGACCAGTCACATTTTCAAAATACCAGAACAACATCAAACTCCAAAGCAGATCTGGGCCTGCCTAGATAGGCATCCTCCTTGAAAGGAGAAGGCAAACTTAGCTATTACTTCTCACCCACCCAATCTGCATAGCAATAGTTTTAGGCAAAAAGGTACACATCAGAACACATTCCCAGCTCATCTTCCTAAAGGGGCAGCCCTGCACCCATTGATTTATCGGAAACTAAGCAACAGGGACACACTTCTGAATATAGGAGGGTGCTTTACAACAGCCAGAGCAAGACTGCTTCTAAAAGTCCATGTTTTAATCTAATCTCTTTTGCAGAGAGGATAATCATTTTAACAGATCTCAGGACAAGAATCACATCAGTAAAATATTTTCCATTTGTTCATTCCTAGGGAAATGCAATTCAAACAGAAGGACACACGACTTCCTTGAACTTTCCGTATAAACGGGGGGGGGGCATTTCAGCCCTTTGAACAGAAAGCGCCAATGCTGGAGCAAGTCCAAGTATGTGCTCCATCAAGAAAAGCCTGCAGCACTCCAGGAATTGCGAGCGTTTTTTAAAAAGAAGAGGCATTTTAACAAATGAAGATTATTTTACTGACGAGAACCAAGCGAAGCTGAGCTTGAAGGGTGTAGCAAGTGGCTCGTGGGCACGAGGTTTCGTTCAGTCGGGGCCACCCGTCCGGTTGTGCTGATCAAGTCTTTGGGCAAACGAGATAAATGCGCCAATTGCACCTGCAGGCTCAGCGCGAGGCGGGGCGCCCGGCCTTGCAGCGCAGCGCAGCGCAGCGC